AAAAACGAAACTAAAAGATACAGCAGTAGCTCCCCCTAAAACTACAAACATTAGTTTTTACATTTTCATTTATGTTCTGGTTAAGAAAAAAGGAACATTGATTTAGTGAGCTTTGGAGTTGTAGGTATGTTTAAGTTTCCACTTTTCACCAAAGCTATTTCACCCTGCTTCCAGTCTTTATGCTAAGCTAGGCTAACAACGTTCCCAGTTGGAAATTTCAACTGGAGAGCCCCCAGAAGTCCGAAGAACCTCATCAACCATGACCTCAAAATCCAAGATGGCTGCTCCACGCATCAACAGAAATGAAAACTGCACCAGCATAATGATTATTAATTCTTCTGTCATAATTGTGTCTCATTAAATCAGTCGTACACACTGTACTGTCTAACTTCTATTTGTGGACATGTTGCTGCAGGATTGTGATGCGCAAAATACCAGCTGATGCATTGTTATGAACTGGTAATGCTAACATGCTAACACCAACAAAAACAAGCAAGAAACAACAAGAAGCTTTCGATTTATTCTACTGGAACTTGAGTGCGAGATCCGACCCCCAAAGTCCTCTAATCTCGCTCTCAGAATGAAAGAAAATTATCAGGTTTAATTTTTTCCTTTAAAGAGCTACTTATCCACTAAAATCCCTGCAATACCGTGGCTGTCATTGTGGCCTTTCAATTTCAGTCTCTCATTGTGGTTAAAACACTGTTGGCAGGATGACATCATATGTTCCAAATCGCTGTTGGAAAAAAAACAACAACACTGTGGTTAAAGTTTGGTTTGGTTTAGGTTCAAAAACAATTTAGTTAGGTCGAAGGAAATATCATGGTGTGGGTTAAAATAACTACTTTGTTAAGGTTAAAAGAAATCAATGTCGACTGTTGGTAGAAAACAGTAAGAAAACAGTGGTGTCCCATGGCAAAGTCTGAAATTTTATTGACCTGTCCAACAACCCCGGCCTCCTCCCTACGTGTACTTTGTGGCTTTAAAATAACGTCACACTACTTCCCTCTCTGCTCCTGCCGCACTTTCTCATAACATAAACAAATGTCATTTTGGGCACCTGCTGAAATGGTGTTTTTCTTGGGATGACGGTCTTGGTTGTGAGCATGGTCAGTAAAAATGTGTTAGAATCTGTACCAGTGCTCAGTAACTGTATATTTGTCCGTTCTTCCACCCATCCATCCTCTGCTTTCTCTTATTGACAAGACAGCAACCAACCCTCCCTTGGTGACGTAACAATATGAAAACTAGAAGGGCACTCAGAGAGCACAGACCTCCGCCAAGGCCACTGTCAAACGACATACACCAGACTTCAGAGAAAAAATATTAAAATTTATAATAAACAATCTGGATCTGCCCCCAAAAATGTATGAGTTCTTAGCCAAGATGACAACTGATGTAGCAGCAGCTGAATGACAAACATGGTTTACCATTTGTCCTACATATAGTCTGTTCGTGCCCGAACACACCTACACTCTAAACAACCAACAAAATAAGGAGCTTTACTTTCTTTGCCCATGAGGATTAATTCCAAAGAAAGACAGCAGTTAATGCGTCGAACCATGTGACAATGGGTGAATTGACTAGTTAGTATATCATACTCTTTTTCCACCAACTTTAGCAGGTATAAGCAGCTTTTTTAAACACGGCAACTGCGGGGAGCGATGTCATCACATGCACTTCCAGAGCACACATACAGACGCAGTGGAAAGAGAGTGAGCTGCTAGCCGCTGTGCAAACTGGTAAAACTCAGGGGTTGGTGCTTCTGTAAAAGTGACGGAGCCTCCATGTGATGTGCTTCAATCGGTGATTGTGTGTTTTTAAAACTTATTTCGGGGCTACAGATTCAGTCTCGGAGGAAAGTGTAGCCGCAATGTTTCTGGTTTAGCAGCACCGTGCTGAACAAGTGACAGGTCTACAGTGTGTGTGCTCATTACAGATGTTACAGCAGGAAAAGGGTGTTTTTTTTAAACATTTTTGACCAGTGTAAAGGGGCTTTAGTCACAAATAGACAGAGGTAAATGTCAAGGACTACTACTTTCTGTTGGTGATAAATGACGACTGTATGCCGTGTATATTATTGTTTCACTTTGGACAGCACGACCCTGGGCTCCTGTGTACGGTTTTATGCTAAGCTAGGCTAAATGCATCCTAACTCTATACATTTAAACAAGAGTGTTTTCTTTACTCCAGTTAAGAAAACAAAGAAGCATATTTCCCAAAATGTTGAACTATTTCTTTACACATGTAGAATAAAGCAGAGTCCAGCAGCGTTGAACATTAGCAGACCACAGGTTGCACCAGCAGCGAATGCAAACCGCATGTAAGAGTATATGTTTCCATAAGATGAAGGCAGCGCGGAGAGTTTCATCTCAGGCTGACCTGCCTCTCTGCCTGCTGCTTCTGTTACATCTCTAATAGGAGGAAATGGCTTGTGGTGAGGAGAGGATCCAGCCCTTCTGTGGGAGTTTAATTCAATCACAGCTCCGGTCAAAAATGAATTAAAACTCTCATTAAGCCCCCCTCCTGTGTTCCAGAGACTAAGCCGGCTGCTAAGGCTCACAAGTAGAAATTTGGGTGTTTCACGGAGGCATCAATCATCTCTGCAGTTATCCGTCTGTGAGTCAGCCATCAGTCACTAACTCCATCATTTTGTTATTTTAATTTGCAGTGCTAGCGCTCACCCACACAGTGAACCCAATGAGACCAGTTGCAGATGATCCAAACAGTGGGCTCCGCGGATGCCTTGTTGTTTAATCTGAACGAGTCACAGTTTGACAAAATTGAGAGCGCAGCGCTCCCTGCCTGGACTTCATATCTCACTGAACACAATGAGGATAATACACTGAGATCCACATCACAGGACCATTGACCTTTCCACAGTATACTATAACTAACCACTTTGGACCGTGGCCATTTATTATATGGAGCAGAGCAGCAGAATGTGTTGTTTTGTGCCAGGGAGGGAAGGAGGAACTTGTGTGTTGTAAACCCACAAAAAAAACAACATTTCTTTGCCTCCAGCCTCTGTTTCAGGGCCAATTCAGTCTCCCTTTGTTGCTTCTGAGCAGCAGCTTCCATTATCACTAGAGTCACACTGGTACATTGTTCCATCCATTATCAGGACACAATGGCTGTGACACTGGCATTTAACCTTATTCTATTCTTGGACTCATAATAACATATTCTAGTTATTTTTTATTGTTTTCCTTAGAAAAAGAAAGGTGTGAACACATTCATTTTCCTCACAGATAAGCTTTCCAAGACTTATGACTCAAGACATTTTGATCCACTGCCACTTGGAAACAAGAAAAGAATGATGCATTGATCTTTAAGTAAAAATAATCTACCCTACAATCTGTAAAGCTAAACCAAACATGGAGTCTTCTTTATCGGCTGTCTAAAGGCCTTTATACATGAAGAAAATGCTACTTTCCCCTCTTCTGTTGCTCAACACCAGCCCTCAAACGTGAAACATGAGCTCCCCCTGCTGATTTAAAAATGGAAAGTGTGCTGCCTTCAGGTGCTCATGATAATAAAACAGGGAAAAGTAATGTAAGGAATTTGCTGATGACATAGATGCATGTAATAAGTGGTGGAAAGTAACTAAGTATATGTATTAAAGTACTGTAGCTTGGTAGTTTTGAAGTGCTTGTAATTAACTTACATTATCAAATACTGTACAGGCATTTAAACAGTTTTATTTATATGATCTTACTAATCATATAAATACTAGTCATATAAATAATAATATATCACTCTGAAAGTAGCCGTTCTAATGAGTACTTATACTTTTGATACCTCGACATTTCGCTGCTTAATACTTTACCTTACTGAATCCATTTTATATTACGATGTACTTTTATTCCACTATAATACACTAAAAAGCAAATACTGTGTCAGTTGACCAGATTTCAAAAGACATATATTATATATATAGCTTGTATCACTTGTGTATATATTTTGTTAGTTAAATCTTTTCCATTACTAGGATACTTGAATAATATGAATTTGTAATTTTTCTTATTTCAAACTTTGTGCTGACTTAAATTATTCTGATGTTAAAGAAACACATCTTCAAATATTTAGCCACAACTTTATTTATAGTGTTATAAAGACATGTTTCATATATACAAAATCAGTGCATAATACAAGATAATACCGTTAATTTTATCTTTTAGATGCTAAATAGGTTTCTGCTTTAATGACGGCACGCTACTTCAAAATATCAATAAAAACTAACAAAAAAAGGATCACGAGGATCATTTTATTTGTGGTTCTCACTGAGAGCAACCAAAATATGCAAAAATCTTTAAATACCTCCTGACAACTCGAAAATGTCAATACTTCAAGTGATGAACTCGACAATGTTCGTTGGTAAATGTCCGAGGCGTTCTGAAGGTAGCACAACGTTGTAAGTGTGTAATGAATGATGTACTGCAGCCCCGAGTCGTGGTCCATACACGTGTAGAGCAAATTTGAGGATAGATGGGTTTGTAGGAAAGCACAGTAGCAAAAGCTGTTGCTGCTTGGGTCGAAATTTTGTCTCTGACTAAAGATCTTGTGAATTGTTTTTCGTCGTTTACGATTTGTTTTGAAGGGGAGCTCTGGCCGAAGAATATTTTGGTGAGTTGAAATTTGATGCTGTGGAAAGAGAGGCTGTAGACTAGTTAGCAAAAACCGTGGAGTTACAAGCTTGACACAATAAGTAAGTTGGACTTCCGGTTTAAAATCAAAATTAAATTGAAATGAAAATACACTGAGCTGGAGCGTAGCAGTATAATGATTCATAATAACGACAATAGTTCAGACGATTATATTCCAAACGATCGTTTTTAACTATGTCGGTTTTCATATAAAAGTTAATAAATAGCTACATATGCTTTTATTTTGAATTCGATGTTGGCTACTTCTGTCGCTAGCTAGTTTGCTAGCTTGATGCATTTCTTAGAAATGGAGAGCATGTTAGCTACCCTTCTCTATTTAAAGACAGCTTCAGTTAGCAGTGGCAGTTTGTAAAGCAACTTTAAAATCCGTCCGTTTACCACTGCATATCTCAAACGATGATATGGTTTTACATGTCTGAGAGTAACTGCCGCGCATTGATATCACAGCTAACAGTTAGCCTAAAGCTAAATGCGCTATGTTGTCTTTGACTTCGATGACGACGGCAATTTGGACGGGCGGTGCGCTCACTTGTCGTATTCTCGCCAAACGGAAGTGGGGATTTCCCACCCGCGCGGCCTGTACCGCGTGAGTTACCGAGCGCTTCAAATGTGCCATGCTCTGTACAGTGTTGTGTTGTGGGAGGAATGAGAACCTTTGTTTCATCTTAGCAAATACTTCTTAAATTTGGCGACCATCGAGTTTTTGTCGCGTTAATTAACCAGTGGTTTTAGACGGTAATCATTTATTGTGTAATTGGCTTAGTTACCTTGGCAACAACAACTCGTTTTCACGTCGTAGAACAACGACATGGAGGTTTAGCCGTTGTTTGTTTAGTTAAACAGCAAAATTGTCTCTATAAATGTTCTCTTCCCCCTCCAAATAATTCCTGTCAAACAGCCAAAAACATATTAGTTAAAAAGTCATACAAATTGAAGTATTATATTTTATTCAAAAGTACATTTTCTTTACATACATCCTAAATTCAATATGCCCCCACAGTAAAATGTAATTTAGTACAATACCTCTACCAAAGATAACATACTTATTTGTCAACACAATGTTTTCCTAAAAGTGAACTTAGATCCACTAAATGTACCTTCAGTTCTTTCAGGCAGTAATGATCTACCTCCAAACATCTTACATGATTTTTATTCTTTGAACATGTATAGATCACGTTTTTTTTTTTTAAATCACAAATAAATAAAAAGAAAAGTTAAGTTTCCCAAAGCACAATACACTGTGAATTCTGGCTTTTTGCATGAACTGTTTGATTTTAATCATTCAGAGCACATCAGAGCACAATGATGAAGTACATCCTGGTAACCGGAGGAGTCATCTCAGGCATCGGCAAAGGCATCATTGCGAGCAGTGTGGGCACAATCCTGAAGTCGTGCGGCTTACATGTCACTGCCATCAAGATCGACCCTTACATCAACATAGATGCAGGCACATTTTCACCCTATGAGCATGGTAGGTGAGAGGGAAGGGTCAGTCTTATTTGACACATTCATAATTAAAGGGGCCACGTGTTAAGTATGTAGTCTGATTGTGTCATTCTGTCTCTGTCCAGGTGAAGTGTTCGTGCTGGACGATGGGGGTGAGGTAGACTTGGATCTGGGGAATTACGAACGCTTCCTTGACATCCGGCTGACCAAAGACAACAACCTGACCACGGGCAAGATCTACCAGTCTGTCATCAACAAGGAGAGGAGGGGAGACTACCTGGGCAAAACAGTGCAGGGTAAACAACTGCTGTTTAAGCTCTAAAGAGCGTGATACGTTCAAGAGAAATGGTTAACTAAGAATAATGTTGTTTCTTTCATTCTAGTGGTGCCACACATCACAGATGCCATCCAGGAATGGGTTGTGAAACAGGCCGCTGTACCAGTCGATGACGATGACGTAGAGCCTCAAGTTTGTGTAATAGAAGTAAGCTGTGCAGTTCATTTTATCATATCAGAAGGGTTCAGATTTTACGTTCTATTGTCCAGGGTTATTTCCTCTTTGAAGGTTCCGCCGAAGCTGAAGCTGCTAACATTGTCGCTGATAACATCTGTGTGTGTGTATGTGTGTTTGCAGTTAGGCGGCACTGTGGGAGACATAGAGAGTATGCCTTTCATCGAGGCCTTCAGGCAGTTCCAGTTCAAAGTGAAGAGGGAGAACTTCTGCAACATTCACGTCAGTCTGATACCACAGGTAAGAGAGAAACACCTTCAGGCCGATCAGGTTTTACATGAGGGCAAACATGTCGGCCGCTGTTGGAGAACAACTGACTGTAAATGCAGCCGAATGTGTAATAAACGTATGTCTTCATTTATCCAGAGGATGTATATATGTGATAACAATATATTCCTCTATAATTAGCATATATGGCAGCATCACTCTTTACTCTTTAATTAAAGTAATCATTAGTATTAGTAATCCCTTAGAGCTCTAGTAGCCTGACAACGTGACGTTATCATGACAGTTGCTAAAAGGTGATTAAAACACTTCAGTGGGAGGAAGGAAGAAGACAACTTGTTGTTAGGATGAAACAGGAAGTAGCTGCTGTAAATGTTGAAACAAAATTCTTTTGATAAACTGTCGTGGATATCTGCAAATGCATTGTGGGTTTTGTTAGTTTCTTGTGTTTTTGTCTACTTGTGTTACACGTTATGTGTCACAGATGCACAGACAGAAGATTAGCAAGCAGGTTCTTTACAGCCAGTTTAATGTATATGTTGTCTCCGTTGTTGTTGTTGTTGTTGTTGTTGTTGTTGTTGTGTCCAGCCCAGTGCAACAGGAGAGCAGAAGACCAAACCAACACAGAACAGCGTCAGAGAGCTGAGAGGACTGGGTCTGTCCCCTGACCTGGTGAGTCATGAATCACTTGCGTAAGAATGTTTAAATATAAAACATAATGTTTCAACATCATGGAATTTAGAGCGCTACACTCCAGATGTGGAAGCTCATTTTCTGTGGTCGGCCTGATTGTTACACCCAGAACAGACTGATACCTTTTTTCTTTTTTTTTTAAAAAGCCTGAATTTAATAAAGGGTGTGAAATGCTCTTGAGGCCACGTGACCTAAATCACAGTGACATCTTGAGGCAGCGAGGTCCGAGTGACACTCAGCAGTGTTGTCATGACGGCAATGTTCTGCTGAAACCTTTCACTCGGAGAGAATAGACTGTGGCCATGAAGGAACAATGCAGAGGGACACTGTGCCATTCATTTTATATTAGCGGCAGTAATGAAAACATTCTCCTCACACAACATCACCAGCCTCTAACTTTTGATACACAACATAATAATACTTTTTTTAATAGCTTACTCTGAGAAATATGAACAAGTTTTCCTCAATAAAATGTTTCCCTCTCTTACCCGGGGCCTCCTCCCCTGATGGCTGTGTTTTGCTCAGGTTTAGTTAGAGTCCTGCGGACTCATGCTCTTAGGAACCTTAAGTTGAGATTTGTTTTGTGTTTTTTTGTGGGAAAGGAAGCCCGTCGAAACATCTCAAAGATGAGAGAGAAAAGGGAGTTTGTCAATCATTTGATCGTTAAATTTCCTTCTCATCTTCGCCAACAGATCATGTGTCGCTGTTCCACCGCTCTGGAAAACTCTGTTAAAGAAAAGATCTCGATGTTCTGCCACGTAGAACCTGAACAGGTACATCGCCGCTGACGCTAACACACTCTGATCGTTTCGCTTCGATGAGCCGCGACTCGCTCGGCAGTTCTCAACTCACTGACCCGTCTCGTTCCAGGTCATCTGCGTGCAGGACGTGTCGTCCATCTACAGAGTGCCGCTACTGCTGGAGGACCAGGGTGTGGTGAGCTACCTGAGCAGGAGGCTGAATATGCCCATCGAGGCCCGACCCAGGAAGATGCTGACTAAATGGAAGGAGATGTCCGACAGGTGAGTCAAAGATGAAGATGGCTGAAAACAAACTGCCCCTGCTGTTCTCTTCTGTCCTGCGTGGTTTGATGGTTTTACAGGTCTTGTTTGAAATGGTATACTAACGCACATGTGTTCCTCGCAGGTCGGACAGACTGCTGGAGCACTGCTCTATAGCGCTGGTGGGGAAGTACACCAAGTTCTCAGACTCTTACGCTTCTGTCATCAAGGCACTGGAGCACTCAGCCCTGGCCATTAGTCACAAACTGGAGGTTAAGGTACGTACACGGTGGTCCTGTTCAGACCTGGTACTAACATCAGTCTCGGGTGATCTGTTCACAAGTGGACAGCTCTAAGTTCAGGTGTGGAAGAACCCCTACTCCTTTGCCACAGTCTGATCAGTCCCACCACAGGTTCCGAAAATATTTAACTATTTATAAAAGCTAAAACCTAATTTTATCATAGAGCCGTGAACAACAGCTCCCCCCCTCTCTCGTCGTCTCACGCTGGACACATTTTTGGACAAGGTCCCTTTAGCACCACCCTTTAGCTGCACTTCTCCAGGTTATGAACTAAACACAGTGGCACCAATATCCTCTACTGAACATCCCCCACCAGCCTGAGACAACGATTGACCTGGAGCCACATGAGTGTAGAGCCGACCCATCTTTGAAGAAGCCCCATAGGCAGATATGTATGTGTCCACATATGATTGGCTGTTTTGAATTTTCTTCCACCCGCTATATAAGTCACTCAGTGCATCACAGTGACTACACATCATCTGATTAAAGAGGGACAGGTACAAGCAGGAACCGTGAGATGGAAAAACTTTTTTTTTTTATCTTTGACTCTTTAGACCTGCAACCTAAAGCTTATACGTCTCCTCTCCTCAGTACATAGACTCAGCTCATTTGGAGCCAAGCACCCTGCAGGAGGAACCGGTGAAATACCACGAGGCCTGGCAGAAACTCTGCAGTGCTGAGTGAGTCCAGAGGTTTCATTTCTGGAAGTAATAACAACCTGGACTTCAGATTTTTTAAGTTTCATTAACAGCTTTTTTTTTTTTTTTTTTTTTTTTTTCCTTCTCTTCTCTCCTCAGTGGAATCCTTGTTCCAGGAGGTTTCGGTGTCCGAGGAACTGAAGGAAAGATTCACGCCATCAACTGGGCGAGGAAACAGAAAAAACCTTTCCTAGGTACGGGAGAGCTGCCGTGACACTGCAGGATCACACTGTTTTTAACATTATCTTGACTTTCTGTGCAATGCACTTGAGAAAACCACATCTTTGCTGCGTCGTTCCTGCAGGTGTGTGTCTTGGAATGCAGTTGGCTGTGTGCGAATTTGCCAGAAACATGCTTGGCTGGAAAGGTAAGTCCTCACGTGCAGCAACACAATGGGGGAGTATTGTTAGTGTAGTAATAGTTAAAGAAAAGCTCTTTACAGAAAAGGTAAAATCTGAAGATTTGTTGGTTAGAGGGCTGAAATAAAGTCTGTGGTTAACACAAGCTCTAGAGATTTTCATGTTTTATTCCACAACATTAAATACGTCTTTCTTTAATCTTTTACGTCTCTTTAAAAAAAGGCCGGTTTCTAACAAGCAGCTAAATGAGACTGCAGAGGTCATCGGGGGTTAGCATATTAAAAAAGTCTGAAAGCCCCAGTGTGATTTTGGACTGTAAGAAAGAAACTCTGTGAAATCTTTGTTCATCCGTCCAACAGTGGTCACAGATTGTACTAAGAGACACATCTACTGACAGATTGAAGGCTCCCTGTGCCAGATGCAGAAAAACAGCCTCGTAACATAACCAAGCCTCCTCCATGTTTCACAGTGGGGGTGGTGTTCTTTTATCTGAAAGCTTCTTTCTTTTTTCTTTTTTTAATTCTGTGAACACAGAGCTGATGTGACTTAGTGAAAAGCTTTCCTTTGTTTCATCTGTCCAACGCGCAGTCTCCCAGAAGCATTGTTGTCTTGTCAACATGCTTTTTAGCAAACTCCATTGGGCTTCTTTGTTTTATTTCTCTTTCTAAAGTGGGTTCTTTCTGCATCGTCCTCCGTAGAGCTCACTGTTATTCAGAAACACTTGCACCTTGATCTTAGAGGTCAGCTTGATTTTTGTCTTTTTTTTTCCACCATTTGAACTTTCCTTCTGTTCAGTCTTGTCAGTTTTCCTCTTGTGCCCACATCGTTGGCTACAGTCCCACGGTCCTGAAACTCCTTAATAAGATTAGCAGCTGTTGTCACAAGCTGCGCATCACGCTGTGTGGAGACGGTCTTGTAGCTTTTTCCTCAGACAACTCTCCTCTTTTCTGTCTCTTGATCAGTGTGAAGCAGCATCAAACAATCCACTGGTCCGGCTGACCACTTCTCACGGGTACCAATGATCATGTCTTTGTAGAATAAGCAAGAGTTCAGCTGCTTTTCACAGCTTCAGCTTCTTTGTTTTACTCAGTGGAAAACCAAAGACATGCAGATATTCAGAGAGACAGATAAAGAACTTCAGTTGACCATTTCTGTAAAGTTTGTTTGTTTGTTTTCCCCCCATTTTACAAAGGCTACGATGCACTGGGCCCTGTGACTTAGATCTTACTGGAGATGTCACAGCTTGACATGTAATGAACCTGTAAAAAATTGTTAATAACACAGTTTATAAGGGCCTTAACATGATGCGACAGGATGCGTTCAGGCACAATCACTGTAGCGTGACGGTATGAAAGTACACTCAGGTCATGTTTACTCACATATTGCAAGTGAAATGTGAGCCGTGGTGCAGCCTGTATGGACAGCTGGAATGATGATAATAGAAGCTTATTTGCTCTGTCAGACGAGCAAGATGGACGACCGAAAAAGCTCCTCTGTGAACACACACAGTGAATTCACACATGTAGGTGCTCAAGAGAAAGAGTGGAAGCAGTGGCTAGTGAATAAACTCTAACATAACTAACTGCACGTCCTTTCCCTGTTTTGCACTTAGATGCCAACTCAACAGAATTTGATCCGGAATCAAAGCATCCTGTGGTGAGTTCTTTTTTAAATTCAGAAACCATCTAGTTGTAATTTGACCTGGAAAAAAAAGGTGAATTTACTGACGAGTCAAACTGTAATCTTTGCAGGTGATCGATATGCCAGAACACAACCCTGGGCAAATGGGTGGCACAATGAGGTTAGGGAAGAGACGGACCATATTCAAGAGTAACACCAGTGTATTGCGTAAGAAAAACTTTTAATTCTCTTTAAACCAACCCAGTCTTTGATGTGTTTGTTGCGTCAGCACGGTGCTTTAGACCTGTTCTGTTTTCCAGGCAAACTTTATGGAGACGCAGAGTATGTGGATGAAAGGCACAGACATCGCTTTGAGGTATGTTGACCGGTCAGTTCATCAGCAGCATCAGAAACATTGTTTACAGTGGAGTCAGCGTTTCAATTTTATTTTTCATTTCTTGTGCAGGTCAATCCTGAGCTAACGAGTCACTTTGAAGACCAGGGCTTCCGCTTTGTGGGTCAAGATGTGGAAGGGGAAAGAATGGAGGTCATAGAACTGGACGGTATGGAAAATGAAACACTGATTTGTTTGTTATTGTGGATAATAATGTTAACAGTCAGGACTTTTTTAAACAACAACCATCTACATTCACATGTCATTCTCTATTTCCAGATCATCCATACTTCGTTGGAGTTCAGTACCACCCAGAGTTCACCTCGCGTCCCATAAAGCCATCGCCCCCCTACCTTGGTTTACTGCTGGCCGCTGCCGGGAAGCTGCAGGGCTACTTACAGAAGGGCTGCCGTCTGTCTCCACGGTAAACATGCACCATCAATTCTCCACTCGTATAAACGCTACCAGTATGCAGACCTTTCTTTTTTCTTTTCTTCCTTGAATGCACTTTAATGGCTGCATCTTGTGTTTGACACAGGGACACATACAGCGATCGGAGCGGCAGCAGCACCCCAGACTCCGAGATATCAGAGCTCAAATTGCCTTCTATCTCGAATGAATGACTTGGAGGTACAGAAGACTCAAGTTCGGAGTGCAAATTATACAAAGACACACTGGGAGGGGGGGGGTCAACTTTTTCTTGAGGGTGAAAAAGGAACCCAGTGCAGTGCAGGGTCACGCTCCAGTGACCTGAAGTGTTACAGGCCTCGCAGCATCTTTTCTGTTTAAATCTGTCAAGTAAATGTAGTGGAGTAGAAAAAATATTTCCCTCTGAAATGCAGGAGTGTTGGTATAAAGTAGAATAAAATGGAAATACCTTAAAATTGTACTTTAGTATAATTACTCAGCCTCCAGCTTTTTTTTTTTTTTTTTTTATATAAAAATGTTCAACTACACAATGTGATAAAACTCCTGAATTCCTGAGTGAAAACAAGGTGACTATTATAGAAGCCAATATCAAAAAGGTAAAAGACTAAACCTCCACAAAGACTATTTACATGAAATAAACTGTACTGATATCAAACTATATCTCAACCAATCCTTTGTCTCATTGCTCATGACTGAGCATCAGTGTTTGCCAACATGAGATCATGACACTTTATATTTAATGAAATGAAGTGCTAACAGTTAAGCTAACATTAGTCCTCTACAAACTTGTCAGTAAAACTAAAGTCTAACTTCTTTGTTGCAGACAAATCTGGACTTGTTGGGAAGTGGACTACGGCAGGTTTCCTTGTCACTGCAGCACTGACTCCAGGCAGCTGTGAGGCAAGTGTTCAGGGTTTCCCGGCCTGAAATGTGTTGCCTTCACACAAGCTGAATCTGGCTACAGTGAGACTCAGGAATTGACATTGGATGGCATTTTTTTGTCATATGCAGATCCTATACCACTATCAGACCCACCCCCTCCCCCCCACAGCTGTACTATTGTGGCCTTATTGTAATTAGATACCGTTATATGGAGTGACAACCATTTGCAGCTTCTTTCAAAGTTCCTTTTAATAATGTGAATGTAAGATGGAATATAATAAAGCGGTTCCAGTAATGGTTGACAAGTCATTTTATTACATTCAATGATGCAAGTTTTAAAACTTAGGTCAAGGATTTTCCACTCATTAGCACCACACTTTACAGTTAGGTCAATCTGAGTGAACACTTCTAACTCGGTGTCACCCCGTCTTCTGGATGGCCTGCAGCAGTTCACCCAGACAGGTTAGGATTCCCAGCGCTCGTCACCAACATGCCACTGAACCTGGGAGAAAAGGGGAAAAAAAAAAAAGTCCACCATTTAAAAATCACAATTCAAGAGCCTCCTGTAAACACATTAGGTTATGGCTGATCTCAGTCCCATATCCGCAAGCTTCATCCAACAGTCCTCATTATAGTAAGTGGTCATCATAGATCAGATGAACTCAAGCAATATACGACAGAGGCCTTTTACATACCTTTCAGAAACCAGGAAGGTTTGAGAGCCCGCACAGCCTGAGGATACCAGACTTTACATCATGGGCCAGAGAGATACCTGGAGGAAACATCCTGTTTAGAATCATGACAACATCTGACAGAACATCTGTAGGACAGCTGAGTGGCTGCTGATGGCAAAAAAGGGCCACAACAGTCAAAGACCACCCAATTTTCTTGCATGCACATGGAGAACCTTGGACTACAAACAAGCCCAGGTCCTTAGGATAGCATGCCTCAACTTGGACTTCAGGTCACATTAATACAGTGCAATATTTTAAAATTTACCTTGACATGAGCTGTCCTCATGCAGTAACTTTTGGGTCAGCCATGAGGATCACCTGAAGAGAAGCAGAATTTGGTAAGCATATTTTTTTTTTCTTAAACTAACACTATTAGAAGACTTTAAAGAAATGTGGCTCAGTAAAATAAATGTCTCAATCAGACCTAGTTTCAGTGAGGGCAAGTTTGTAATCACAGCCAGGACTATTAAAAAAAAAAAAAAAAAAAAAAAAAAAGTTGCTCGGTTAAACTACCTGCATGCAAGTGGTTTCCATTTTGTCCTTTCACCATCAGCAAAACCCAAAACCTGCAGAAAGACGGAAGTATTAGACATTTATCACTTAGTAATTTTGATTAATAGTCTTTTAGTTCAGATCAAGTGTCCTTCCCCTAAATGTTGCTGGAGCAGTTATTTTCAAACTGAACAGCGACCGTCGGTGAAAGTCTTCATCTGGGCTTCCTGTTGACCGTTCACTGCTACATAACAGCATGAACGGCTTCGATAGGAGCCTGATATAAAGATACATGAACTCCTGAGAACATACCTGCATCGTCTGCAGACATCCATGGTTGGAGAGGCTGGACAGAGCTATTAGTGGTTGAACCTGTAGAGAAAAAAAAATAAAATAAAATACACATTTGTCCACATTAAGCCAGCTAAATTAGAAGGATCTAGTAAGTCAGGATTTTATAGATTAACTTTAAAATGTTGGTATAGATTGCTAACAGCTACAACAGGAAACACAGTTCACACTCACATACAATACCATAATTAAACGGTTGACTATCAGCAGCTATGCACATATGCCACATTATTACATAGAATTGTTTTGATGCAGTTTAAAGTAGCGCCATTTTATTTTAAAGTTATGCAACGCCATCTACTCTGACTGTAGGCCTTACAGTGCGCTACAAGTCTGAGATGAGATCGACTTTAAAGCATCGTCTGCTATCAAGCATTTTGTTGAGAAAAACAAACAAAAAAAAAGGTTAAACAGACGAGGACGTCTGCAACACAAATTAAAATCTGTATTTTTTAAAGATGCATTATGGGTAATAGACTTCTGAAGGGAGTGAAGGACTCAGCCACGTGGCCTACACGCATTAAACCCATCATGTACCGTTAGCACTACTGCTAAACTATGGCCTAGCAAAGTTTAATTTAAAGACGTGGCAGCGTAATATGATTTAACGATATTGTACAAAAATAATTTGGTTCTATTTTCAAGTTAAAGCGTTACCAGACACCGCCTAACTACAGCGGGCTACATGCTAACATTACTTTCTTAAACAGCTAGCACTTTGCATTGCTAAAGCTAGCCAATCACTTACTAACATTAAATTCCACTCAACGGTCGTAGGTGCTAAAGCTATTCGCAGCAAACCAATACACACATACATGTAACTTGTGTCAGAAACTGAAAAGTAGTTGAGGCCTTACCGACATCAAATGCCGACTTCTACACCTCATGAAGAACAGGAAAGGGAAGAGATAGAAAGGAGGGTCCCGTTGATTTTATACACGCTAGCGTCGGGCAGCAGCGCGCTGATTGGCCCACAGAGCTCACGCGGACCACTTGCATGACGGGATATGTATTCATTCAAGATTTTTTTTTTTATGACCGCTTGTTGTCTTTTAGCTTTATTGTCACTTAGACACATTGATACCGACGCGAACTGAGATTTTACGTAACACTATAATGTGTAGTTATTATATATCGTGTATAAAGAGAGAAATACTAAGTAAAACGAAACTATAGCTGGAAATGAAGCTACTTTCAGAACCACGGACAGCAACCTGCTTCCAACCGCTGATCTACGGCGCGTGGTGTCCAGATAACAGTGAAGGGTGCTGCATTCAAAAACAGTTGCGAAATACTGCTCTTACGTGTTGATATTTCAAGCTGACTGACAGAATTTCACACAATATAGACAAAAGACGTTGGAAGTTAACACTGAAATTCCTACTACAAAAGCAGCTGACTTATTATGACTTAGTTAGAGTTTATAAAAACCTGAATACTCGTATCTTGTGCCTTAAAATCCAGCTTATCTCTGACCGTTTCATAAGATACAATTGCCTCATTCACCACTACTAGGTCTCTAGTTGTAATATCGCGTAGTGGAGCATAGGTAAAATCTATCACATGATTGCTGCGGTCGCTCTGTGCTCCGCGTCTCTTCCTGAGCGAAAGGCAGCAGCAGCAGCAGCAGCAGCAGGAGCCGCAGCAACAGCCCGGGTTTCATGTAAACACGCCGCGCTCAGGGCTTTGTTTCACATACACATTCACACACACACACACACACTCACACACACACACACACACACACACACACACACACACACCGCTGGTATCCCCCTTCTAGTCATGCCATGGATATTTTGTGGCAATACCAGTTCAGGATCATTTTACTCGGGGATTCGACAGTGGGGAAGTCGTCGTTGCTGAAGCGCTTCACGGATGGTATTTACAGTGATGTGGCGGATCCGACTGTCGGGGTAGATTTTTACGCCCGCTCGCTTGATATCGAGCCCGGGGTGAAAATAAAGCTTCAGCTCTGGGACACCGCTGGCCAGGAACGATTCAGGTACGAAAGAGAAAGAAATTAAGCTTAAATGATTTTGGGTTTTTTTTTTCACCCTAAAACTGAATATAACGACCAGTCTTCGTCGAGATTTGTCGTTAAATAATGGAGAGGCCTTGGTTCGCTGTCGCGTTTTTAAAAAAAATGAAACCGTTTAAATGAAATGAAGGCCATTTCCTCTCTCATTGTGATGTAATGAAGCCAGTGTGGACAGTGGAGAAAAGGGTCAGGAGACGATTATACAGGCCTCGATCTTATGATGCCATGGCCTATATATGAAAACAGTGCAATTCGAGGCGCATCATTGCATTCATTAACGGATGATGGGCAGCCTCCTCATATTTAGGCCCCGGTTTGATTTCCCTCAGATAGCACGGTCTCCAGGGCAACACAGAAGATGAAAACTCTATATCCAAATCTAGTTTTGCATCCAACTGCCCTGTTGCTTGTTCTGTTTCATGTGTCCCTGCTGTCATGGACAATTTGCTTTAAAGCGCTCCTCTGACTGGAGAAGCAGTTCTGCTCTTAGATCTGCTTTCTCTTTTGAAGCTCAGGCTTCAGAGGGTGTTTTCCTTCAGGCTTCACCTCTCTTCTGTCTCAGTGGGTCTTGGCTCTGATAAGTGTTTGTCAGATAAACCAACAGGTTTTTTTTTTTTTTTAGCTACCTTGTGCATGTGCAGCCTGTATGTGGGTAAATAGGTTGTCCCAGATGGGTAACTTCCTCTTCTGGGGCCCCAAAAGATCCTGTGTTTACTGTGTGGTTTGTGGTAATGCGATCAATTCAGGCCCAGTGGGGAAATGCAAAGCCACTAAATATGAACCACCAAATCACTCTATAACTGGACTGATGAAGACGCGAAGGCAGCTCCTGTGTTTTTACTTAATTTTGAGGTGCTTTCTTGTAAAGGAGCCCTTATGTAAAAACCTAGTTTTAATACCTTTTTATATATTTCAGTGGATATTGTGCATCCATGGAGCATATTCTTAGATACATCAGTGTTAAATAAAATCAGACACACCTACCCCTCTGCAGTGGGGTATTACAGGACAGGACTGGTTGGTGAAACAGAATGAAGCTGCTATTTGAAGTCTGAAGAGTGCGCTGTAGTTAAAGGCAACAGCATACAGTCACAGTGCCCACAGAGTGAGAGGGCTCAGGGTCAATCAGGGGCCTGCAGCTCATTTTGTGAACTGTAGGTTAATTTGACCCTGGATTTGCATCTCATAATGGGATAACAGTCTGTGAATTAATTTAATTGGATCTAAAGTACTACATTACATTTCAATATGAAATGTAAAACTTTAATGAGAAAAAAACGGTGGAAAATCGAATGATTTATCCTAGTTGTGTGATTTTAAGTCTCTTTTCATGCCGGCGTGAGGAGAATATGGATCTTGTCAAAGCTGTAGTTTGAGACATGGACTTGATTAACACAAAATTGAGGACTTGAGACTTGACTTGGACCTGTTCTCTGTGAAACCTGACCCACTTCAGTCCAGAAGCGAAAACATTCAAGTCTCAAGTTTTGACCTGGTAAAATCCCAGAAATAAAAGTAAATAGGACAAATGCAAATATCAAATTGCTGTTCACTTTTACTTGACTTGGGCTTTATCTTGACTGACCAAAGTCTTGACTTGAGCTCTGTCTTTACAAGACTTGAGACTTGAGACTTGACCTGGACCTTTGACTTGGACCAAAGGGCATAGACCAGCTATGGATCTTATAATGGAGGATTCTGTTATGTGGGGACAAAGTTAAGGTTTTTGTCAAAGATGATTTTGCTTATACTGACTAACATGTCACCTGTCTGCCCACCAGGTCCATCACGACATCATATTACCGCAACTCGGTGGGCGGGCTGCTAGTTTTTGATCTCACCAATCGCAAAACCTTTGACCATGTGAGGGAGTGGCACAAGGAGGTGAGTGAGCACATCCTGCCTCACCACATGGTCTACATCCTCATCGGCCACAAGAGCGACCTTAACAAGGACCGCAAGGTGACCCGAGACGAGGCGGAGCAACTGGCGGCAGATCTGGGCATCCGCTACGTGGAGACGTCGGCCAAGTGCAACAGCAACGTGGACCGGGCCTTTGAGCTGCTGACCAGAGACATCTATGAGCTGATGAAGATGGGGGAGATCGTCACCCGCGACGGCTGGGATGGCGTGAAGAGCGGTCTCACTGCCAAGGTCCTCTACCCCACCGAGGACGAAGAGGAGCTAGCCACCGCGTCTGCCGAAAAAGGCTGCCACTGCTAACTGAGAACTCTGTGTCCACACACTGTCCTGTCTCACTAAGAGCTTGCCTCGTCTCACAGCTGTCCATTAGAAAACAAGTCACTCAGGCTCAGCACCCTGTGATATCATCACCCATCACTCCTTCACCTTTGTGCTTCGTGCCCTCTCTGTGTGTGGGACAGCTGGGATTGTTTTCCAACAGGGGGCTTGTGTACATCCTGATGTGTGTCTTATAAACAAGTTGTATCTCTAAATCCATACGGTGTAGCATGAGCCAAGCTGTTTTTTGGCCTTGTTAGGTTCGGAAAACGCAGACAGCATGCAGAGGTGATCAGGTCTTGGGACTGAGAGTGTAGCCAATAGTCCTTTTTCAGGTACAGGTGTTCAAGGTACAGGTAAATCCATGGACTGTGGCGTACCGTGGTCTGGCATCACTCTCATTTCATACGGCACTGTTGTGGGTTTATAACTGTCAAAGTTTGTGCAATGCTTTGCCTGCAATCCTGTGTGACTGTAATATTGTAAATAATAGTGAACTCTATAGAAATGAAAGCTAAAAGGTCACTAAAAGCTATTTAAATGATAGTGTGAACAGACACAGTGCTCTCTACAATAAGTGTCACCATTTGAAATCAATGTGCTCCTCCTGCTACTGTAAGCTGTACGTGCACTTACGCCAAACTGACTTCAATCTTTGATCATTCTGTGAATACATGAGTAATGTTTTTGTAAAAAAAAGAAGAAGATAGAGAATACTTCTAGTTAAGGTGTATACATAAAGATAGGATACTGTAACTATGGTAGGTCTAATTTAGGTTTGTATTATACTGTAGCATCAACAGGAGCAAGACATCAAGTAGAGATTCATCTCTCAGTCATCAGACCTTTAATTATGCCGTCAGCAATAGTAAAGATGTGTTTGATTAGGAACAAAAAGGAGTTTGAGTTTCACCTGCAGCTTAGGCAAACAGCTACTTCCTTCATTCAAAGCTCAATGCACAAAAATAATATTACATTCAGGCCTGAGGATGTGTTGCTTAGTTTATGTTTCATTCCAGAAGTATCAGTGAGTAGGAAATGTTGGTTTAAGTCTGGAGGAAAGTCGTCTGGCTTCCAAGCGGAAAACCCAGAGCAAGATTTGTCAAAACCTGAGGATGCCACATTAACATGGCACTGCAAAAGCTAACGCAGCAGTCCAGCAAACCACGTGAAACCCCGACACCCGGTTTGGGTTTGACAGTTCCCCCGTTCAGCCTGCTCAACAGGGCCTTAAAAGAATTGTTCAACATTTTGGGAAATTCTTTTTCTTTCTAAAAGTTAGATGAGAAAATTTAATGTTAGTGTAATGTCTGTGTGTTAAGTAGGGAACTAGATCCAGGAGGCAATTAGCCTAGCTTAGCCTAAAGTAGGTGTAAACAGCTAGCCTTGCTCTCTCCAGCCAGCTAAAATAACTTCCTGGTGACTTCTGAGTGATATCACCATGTGTGGTAAATTTGTTAAGACATTAAGACGCCTGTGCTCACCATCTGCATCTTGCATCCTGCTAGTCAAAGATTTACCGAGTCAGGCTAGCTATTTCCCCCTGCCTCTTCATGCTAAGCTAGGCTAGTCGCCCCCTGGCTCTAGCTCTGTACTTAATGCACAGACAAGGTTTCTATCTTATTGGCTAACCCTCAGACCCAAAGTATAGAACTATTTCTTTAAAGTTATCAAAGTGCTTGTTCTTAATCATGGAAATCTGGCAGAAGTGATCACTTACAGTAGATCAGCTGACTTTCAAGGGGCAGGATTTTCATCAACCTAAATACTCAAGTGTAAAGCTGTTGTTTAAGTTGCTGAAATTCTTTTCTTAACTAAGTAACGTTGACATACCATTGACAAAACTTTAGCAGCTGTAATTGGAGCCTGTGATGGTCAGCTTGCCGTTCTTAGCAGTAAGATGTATTTATGATGAATGCATGTCTGTGCACATGACTTACACCGCACATGGTGGCAGTAACTACCTTTAACACAGAGGATCATGTATGCTTTCAAGTCTCCAGAGTCTTTTGACTTGCAGAGCCCATTAATCTGTTGTTTACCAGCCCGGAGGGTACAATAGACTACAGTACACTTACCCTGGGAGCTCACCTCTCCTCGCACCAATCACTCAATCACCTTTCACCAGCATCTCATGACAAACAAACAAACAAAAAAAAAAAAACTTGTTCACATACACGTGTAAACAGCAAGAGATTATGCATTGTGCAGTTTTTACTTTGCATTCATGTGATCAAGCTTACCTACATTTTTTCTTTGAGTTGATAAATGCTGGATCTAGTAAACATACTGTACGGTATGTGGTTGCAGCTTAGTATTCGGTAAGGAATGTATTGTAAAACATTTGCACCGACCCCTTTATTTTTTACTTTTCTGTACAGAATCAAACTGTATTCTCTCTGGTAAACCACCACATGTTATAGCCAGGTTTAAGTACAGTGTATTATATACGGTATATGTGTTTTTTTGTTCGTTTGACAATCAGACTTTAACATTTCATGTTCATGGTGAAGGTGAGGACTTCATCACAGGGGTGCTATGCCTTGCAATCGAGTTTAAACGTCCATCCAAAATCACCGTTTGACAGCCAGTCTGACTGTGTTTAATACAACTACCTTCCTCACTTTTGTCTCTCATGTAAACAGGGTTAAATTGTATGATATTGTTTGAATGTGTATGTGAAGAGCAAACTGTTCTCCTATGAGCATGAGTGTCATTCGTGAGCACTGCACTGAACAGTGTGGAACTGGCAGCCTCAGAGTGTTGAAAGCACGGGTTAAATTTAAAGGACAATACTGAAAGACGAGAAGAAAAATTTTGAATTTTTGAAGGACTCATTATCTGTGCTTATTTCTCATCGGCTGGTAGCAGACGCCTCTATATCCACCAATGGTAAACAGTTAAAAATCTAGACTACATTTGCAGCTCCATTTGTAACCTTACAGACTGTACATAACAGTGACCATTGTGAGTAATGATGATGATGATTATGATGATGATGGTGGCCAGAACCAATCTTCAGTCCACATCCAGCCTCTCTCTTACTGAAATCTAAAAAGGAGTAGCTCAACATATCTGGAAATATGCTTATTCCCTTTCATTTTAAGAGTCAGATGAGGTTTGACACCACTATCTTAAATCATATTGATATCAATCTTCTTATCTCACTCAGAGAGACTGTGAATATGATTAAATTCCCCCGAAATGCTGAACTGTGCCGTTAATAATATTGTGTTATCCACTGGAATGATAAACCAGCCCTGCACTGATCGGGCTTCAGTACCAGGAAACATCAGCAGCTGTGAGGCCTGCAGGATGGTACATAGCAAAAACCTGTACAGCTTCTGAGCCCCATGGTCACATTTCACAGCTTTATCGAATAAATGTTATTTATTTTATATATTATGTAGAAGGGATTCGCTTATTTGATGTGATTTTATTGATTGGTTAAAAAAAATAAATAGATGTCCAATGAATAAAGTTTGGCCTGGTTGTTTTTTTTTTATTTATTTTAACAAGGGTTTGGTGCCCTCTTCTGGCAGGGGGAGAATAATCATGACCTAGATTGGTTATTTTGTTTTTGATTTATTTATGGCGACCATGCCACCCTCTGTCCAAAGAGTTACATTAGTTCAGTTCAGTGACATTAGTACATTTGTTGATTTAGCAGCTGATAGTGATTGTTGCTACAGTCCAGTGGGAAAAACAGTAGATAGTCTGTTTTAGCTGCAAGCTGTAGTTTGGCATAGAGATTAAAAGTGTTTTATATGTGACAGTGTAGACTATATGAACACAACAGACTCATGTCAGGTTTCAGTAACGACATTTTATAAAACATGAGATTTGTGTTTCCAAGTTCAGGAATTTGTGTCTTCAGTAGGCCTATTGGAAAACATAAATTATATATTATATTATATTATATTATATTATATTTACTACACACAAATTACATATGGTCAATGCTGAGTGCCAATTCTGATATTTTTCAGACAAGAGATCTCTAAATTTGACAAAAAATATAAAATTCAATTCAAATATTAGAGTAATGTAGTATTTGTCACCACACAATTATTTCCTCACAAGGTGGAGAAGGATTTTTAACAGCATTTAAACAGCATGAAATACAAATTATATAAACTGATCAAATTTAAAAGCAGTCAAGTCTACAGAAATCTGTTTTTTCAAGGTGTTGGTGGATTTCCCCACATTACGTGAAGGCATCACTAGATGGTAGCCGTACAGCAACAAATGAGAGCCAACATAATGTTACTGCCCCGCCTTTTCCTACCCGTCATGCTCTTCGGCAGTGAAACCCACGCATCCATCTGTTCTCAAATGTTGTTTTTAATTGCAAATACGTAAATGTTTCTAATAACAACTGTCAGTGTATGTTGCAATTATACAATACACCATAAAAACGCATCTACCCAGAGGTAATTTTGCAGGTCATGCACCTCTGAGTGAGGTACGTGCCACCTGTGGTTATTCGATGAGATGTTCAAGTGTAACGTTAAAAAGGGCTTCTGCTGTGATTTGCACAGGAGGAGTAGTGGTTACTATTCCTCTTGCGGAATCGCCATCAAGAGATTTCGGAAGCACAATTTTTAAACCAGGGGCTGCTAGTGGTCACATGTCCTGGCGCCCCGTCTCATCATGTTTAAAATAATACAAATAAAACGAAAGCTGAGAGTCTCACCTCGAATCTTAATTTATCACATCTGGTCGACAGGTAATTCTTATGTTGTTATTGTGTGTTGAAACTGAAAATCAATAACGACAGCCGATTTACACAGAAACCTTAAAGTTAGACTCGTTTTATGATGGGGACCAACCCTCACTAATGTTTGAGTGTATAATGACACTGCTCGACGCTTCAGCATTCAAAATATATTCAAATATTATACAATGCCAATGTTTCACGAACAAAACCACTGATCGGGACATTAAAATACATCCATACAATCTACGAGATGTAACTTAATAAATTAGGTGTATAATAACAGAAGGTGTCATTAAATGTGGAATGCTCTCTACTCTTATATTATACAGATAACTAACGAAGTTACTGTAGTCGCAGTGAGTTGCAGTTGAATTTTGTCCGGGTTTACAAGAGCGTGAAAATAAAGCGAGCGCAGTTCAGCAGGAAGTCAAGCTATATCAGCGAAGTGCGCATGTGCAGCAGCTCTCCACAATCTAGGGATGTGTTTCTCTTCATAAAACGGTAAGGACAAGCCTATTTCTATCTGTGTGATTTTAAATATACTTCGCGGTAAAATACCAACCGCTCTTACGAAACAAACGGTTGTATTCGCCGGGGGTTTCGGGTATATTGCGGAGGGGGTTCAGCTAGCCAGGCTCGTACAGAATGGAGGGGCAACGCCGTCGCCGTGCCGTTGTTTGCTGTACGTGCCGCCGCACAGGGAGACGTCATTTTGAGGGGGAGCGGAGAGTTAAAATGCAGAGTTACGAAGGGACGTACGGTTCATAGACAAGCGGCACGTAACCGTCACACTGTAAATGCAAAGCTTTACCCGTCTCGGACAGTATAGTTCACAATATTGTCCAGTTCCCACACATCAAGTTACGCCCTTGCGTTAGCCATAATGGCTACCGCCGATCTGAGCTGTGTGGATCTCAACAGCGAAAATCAGTCAGCAGCCCGCTGCGGCCGTCACAACCCACCCAACTTTGGAAATAGAAGTCTTTTATCTGCATCAAAAAGGATGAATTTAGCACTAGTGTACCCGTGAGTGGTCTACTAACCACATATCGGATACCATCCCCCAAAATCACCCCCAAACTGCGGTTTCAACTCCCCAGTGCGCGGGGAAACCCACCACACTACCGTTACATCTTGCTCCAAATTTGACAGTTTGACAAGCGGGGGTGCATTGGCAGTAATGCACAGATAACCTGACTGAACACGGAGTACGTCAATTTACCAGTCACTGCGGTCTTGTGATAAATTAATTTCTTTTTGTGCACATTCACGAAACCGTTCATTTTAAAAATATAGTTTCATATTTAGCTAGTTAATATTGCTCTCATTAGTTCACAGACAAAAATTAATTCGTGATCAGTGGAAGCTTTTCTGAAATATGATTTTTTTTTTTTTTTTTTAAATATGTTTTAATTAGTGGATATAACGTCATGGTATGCTAGCTTGATATTGCTGAAATAAAATTTAACCTTTTTGTTCCAAAAGTGGTTGTTATTTATGTTTCTTATCTGCCAAGAAGACGTCAATGTAAAAATGACGCATTTCTTTATGAAGTTTGGTTAGGCTGGAACATTTAGCTAAGCTAACTACCAAGTCTAAGAGCAAATAGTATTTTTTCAGCTGGTCTAACTGCAGTATGTTGGTTTAAAAGTTCAGTTTGCTCCGCAACGTTAGCTAGTTAAAGTTAAGCTAATCTAAACATAGGCTTTTAAAACTACATTTAAACATCAAGTTCTCAGTGCAGTGTGTTTCCCAACCCCTAGAGGCGCTTAATTGTGGCTGATTGGTCTTATTTTTAATTTTGAAAGTAGCTTTGACTGAAAAAAGATCTTATATGATTAAAAAAAAAAAAAAAAAAAAAAAAATCAATTTGCTTTTGCTTCTTCTTCACACCACAACAAAACCAAGGTTTGATATCATTTTTCATATTGTGTTCTTTTTCTATTCCTCCACCTTCAGATGAACAAACTCCTGGGTAGCTGTTCTGTGAAAGCAGGCCCTCTTTGAGTCTTACTGTGAGTGTGATGGCGACCACCGATGAGGTCACGGTGTCCATGGGGGAGGTGGTAATGGTAAAGGCTGATGGAGAGGGTGACCCCGATGACCCTAATAAGACTCAGGTCATCCTCCAGCTCCAACCAATCACCACAGGGTATGTACTGAAGCAAGGTGTCACATATTAAAGACTGTGGTGTAGGTTAGGATGTGGACTGGAATTACAGTTGAGTTCATTACAAAACAATTTAAGGTAGCAAACAGCTACAGTAATGCCAGATGATTAACCACTATTAGGTTTACGACAAAGAGTACTACTCCAAAGTAAGTACTTACTGTAGATACAACATAGATATCATCCTATCTGCAGATAGACAACATCCTCTAATATCCAGAAAAAATAGTAAAAATGCCATATGTTTTCTTTCCAGAGATGAATCTGCTGAAACAGATGCAGCTGTCATGGCCGTTGAAGCACATCCAGGTAAGACATTATCAGAAAGATGTTTGGACATCTGGTAAGATTCAGTGATTCAAACATTTTGCAGGTTACGTGACAAAAAAATACATTTTAAACGTTGCGTATCTTCTCTTTCTTTTAGAACAAACTGAGGGAGATGACGTAGAGATCGGCTGTCCCATAACATGCGGCGACAGTAAAGCTGTGTTGCTGGTGAAGAAATTTGTGTGCCCGGGAATCAATGTGAAATGCGTGAAGGTTGGTATTCATTATGGTTTTTAAGTCCACATTGAATCAAAATGACAACCTTTCACTTCTGGTCCTCAAAGGCTCGTCAATATGCGAATATATTTTGATTGATAACATGTCAGAGGAGACATAAACTGTATTATTAAAACCCTAAAAAACACTTAACAAAAAATGTACAAATGGCTGTTATTAAGCATCACTGTACATAGCTAGATGGCATTGAGGCGTCTGAACAGTCAATCACCCAGCAGGAAATAAACATGTTCTGCTGACATGTGTCCAAGAATAACTGCATTGAACCACCTGTTTATTTTGTCTCACTTTAAACTTGGTAGCTTCAAATAGCTCTGTGCTGATTACAGCTATAAGTGGGCATGTGCAATGGCTGCCTGGGTTGATTCTGTCATGAATAATTAAATAAGATGAATGTTCTGTTTTATGCTTGAAAGAATTTTTAGGTTTTTCTTGCCAACATAGTGCTATGATATAGTGCTATCATAGCTGCTCTAGCTGAACCTGTAATGAGCATCGAAGGACATTAGGTGTTCTGAAGAATGAAAATAAAATGTTGACTGTAACAGAGCAACAAGGCTCACAAAAGAAATACGAACAAGTGGTGCAAGAGGAGGCAGGCTGCTCTCAGCATCGTAAAAGACACAGTACATTAGGCTGTAAAACAGAAGTATGAACTAAATCAATCTGTCAATCCAAGGCAAACAGTTTGCACAGCTTTGTTTTGTTTTTTTTGTTTTTTTTTTGCAAGACAGAAGACAAAGCATTGACTGGGGAACAAAGGGAAAACAAAACTGTAAATATAGGACGGGCCAATTAAGAAGAGTCTAGCCAGGAAACAAGAAAGCAAAGTGATATTTGTTGTCAGGTCTATGATGTGTGTGTGTGCTCGCCTGCCAGTGCACCACATTATAAGGTGGATGGGAGAGAGGAAGAGAGAAAGGGAGAAAAGGTGTTGGCGAGTGAAGTGAAAAAGATGAATAAAAGAAACATGAGAGAGTCTGAAAGGATAAAAAGAAAAGGCGCCAATACTGTCTTTCTCCTGACAAAAAAATGACATTACTGCTATTATTACTTCACCCGTCACCACCACCACTAATGACAATAATAAAAATGATAATTATAATAATAATAATAACTTCACTGCCGCCCCTGGCAATGTTATGGGATGGGGCGCCACCCGGGAGCTCCAGAACAGGCTGGCAGGGTCGGACATGCTGGGAAGACAGTATTTTTATTGCTACATTTTTAGATTAGATTGTTGTTTTGTTGGTGGAGATTTTAATTTATTCGTTCTGATGTTTGTATCACTTTGGGTTGCCCACAGACCCTTACAGGAAAGGGCTGGTCCACTGTGGGTTGACCCCTACAGTCACTGTCGTAGTGCGCACTTCTGCACTAAATAATATCACCTCAACATAAACACTGTCTGGGCATGATGCATGACGGCTATGGCTTTAAAATACCAATGTATTGATATTATTGTTTTAAATTAAAGGCCAGTATTAACAAACCAATACCACACTTATAATAATACAGTAGTCTTGCTTTTAGCTGTTTCTGTCATTTTATCCTCTACATTGCACTTAATGAACTCACTATGGTCATTTAACCAACACTCTCTCCACCAGTATGAAGACCAGCTGATAAGCCCCAAACAGTTTGTGCACATCTCTGGGAAAGCCACTCTGAAAGACTGGAAGAGAGCCATCAGGATGGGTGGAGTCATGCTAAGGTGAGGGCACTTACATTTGGATTAGTGAGCCAAAAGCCAAAGGTATTTCTGTATCTGCGTGCTGGTTGTTTGCGCTACACATCATGATTAGTCATCATCGCTGTCTGCAATGCACTGCAGACTCCTGCATATGTATTGCTGCTGACATAACAAACAAAGATGTGACTCTGTGTAAATACTGTTTTCTAATTCCAACCCAAATTTGAAGAATTCAACCACACACAAAACAACAAATAAAACAAACAATTACTAAAACCACACTAAATCAATAAAGCAGAAAAAAAAACAAGCCAAATACAGAAAATAGTTAAAATAACTAAAATAACTCTACATGTAAAACAATAAACAATAATAACTTAGAATGAAAACCGAATCAGGATTGTCAGAAATTCACATTAACAAGAAGAAAGTGAAGACGAAGGTGCAGAAACCAGTAACATCTAGGTGACATTTATCAAACTAGAATGGCTCTCAGCGGAGCGCACGCCTCCGTCAAGGCCAAACAATCCCACACATGTCGAGCTCTTATGATAGAGAAATTAAAGGAATAAGGAAGTAGTCTGAGACATCAGCAATATATAATTCATATAGGCATCTCCTTTTTTTTTTCTCCCAGACTCCCTCCAGAAATCGAGGCGTTTTTCTGACGTGTTGAGTCAGGGAAACTTATACTACGACACTGTGAAATGCTGTCTACAACAAATTAATTATTCATGCCATCTTGTGAATTTGGCATGTAAATATAATACAAGTTCTTTCTTTTCTTCATGTAAGAACAACTCAAAAACTGCAGTTTCTTGGCATCCATCATCAGCTGGTCCTGGTGTTGTACCGCAGTAATGATGCTACACAGGGAGTGGCAGATTTAAATAAGAGACTACTTTATATGTATCTGTGTCTAATAAATCTATGATGTGTCCCAGACAGGATGGATTCAGATAACTAAGCATTCGTTTTGCCGTATCTCTTTTTCACACATGTTTCTTGCATTAGAGTCAACCACATAGATCTGTATCCAAACCGCTGGCCTGGTCTGTGCACCTCTGATAACATGACACTTGGTCGCTTGTTGAGGAGTCAGTCCTGCTGTTTTTTAAAGCTTCAAACGTGTTGATATCCTGACATATTATATATGACATATGAATGTGCTTTACTGAAATGATTTCAATATCTTACTTTTGAAGTTGTTCCATTTGTGTCCTCATACATCTGCGGACAGTCATGGGGTTTATTTTCATATAATCTGAATTGACTTGAGTTCTGTCCAATCTCTGGCAAGAGTTGTTGTCCCTACCTTTTTTCCGTGATGTGAAACGTTGTGTTTTCTGTTTAGCTGTTGTTTTTGTGGAATGTTATTTTGCACCTCGTGGCCGCCATCGAGCATCTTTAAACACAAATATTGCTTTCAGCCATTGCACTGCTTTCATTGTGGGATGCTTGTACCATATGGGTCTTTTTTTTTAACCTGCTCAGATTTTATTCTTACCACCCAGGCTGTTTGTGTGGGCAAGTCCTGCGTGAATCAGCTGTTCTACCTCACACAGTACACCGGCAGCACATGCTCAAAAATGCATGTATATCAAAACGATAAGAGACAGCTCTGACTTTAATAAATGATGTAAACTTTTGTGTCAGTCTTTGTTTTTAGCGAGGACAAAATAAATCATATTTTAAATATCTATAACTGATAACACAACTTAAATATAGAACCAGCAAATTTAGCCTCAAATCAATATGGTCCTTTTGTTTCTTCCTGTTTCTATTTTCTTGCTGTTTGATACCGTTCTTAATTTCTGCTTTCTAGAAAAATGATGGATTCAGGTCAGCTTGACTTCTACCAGCACAGCACGCTGTGTACCAACACGTGTCGCAGCACCAAGTTTGACCTTCTCATCAACAACACACGCTTCCCTCCGGATGGCAGCAGGCTTAACACGCCCACGTCCTCTCAAGGTGAGAACATGCCATAGTCATGACGATGCCAGTTTCTGAAAAAACTGATATCGACCACTAGGATCGTGCATTATTTAGATTTTTGTGATTTTCTGATTTTGCCCCGTCAGTCTCGTTTCAGATTTTATAAACCGTATGAAAAGGAAAACAAAAGCAACAATTATTTTTATAACAGCCTGTCTCAAATAATCAAGTGTTTTGTGATTATTCATGACAAAAAGGAAAAATAATGACAAAAATAAAGTTATATGTTGGCTGTTTTACACTTCATCATGTTCTTTTTGACACAGTGATTACACTGCTGTATTATTATTATTGTAAACAGTATTTAAGTGCATTGATGTAAGTGACAATAACCGATAAGTTGCATTACAGTGGAGGACACGGGCTGAGAACCACCTGACGACAAGCTGTTTGTTTCCAGATTCACGCAAATAACAAATACATTTGAAATTGTATTTGAATTGTGTGTCACTAAGAAGATGTTTTGATTTTTTCATTGGTTACACAAATAACCCGATCTGTAAGATCTTTATCTATACCAAACTGTTACTGTCCTCACCTAGAGTTCATATATTTTTTTATCTTTTATCTCTGGAACATATAGGGTTAGCTTACAGAATTAGCGGTCCAGGTTGAGTGCAGTTCCCGCCCTGAATTGTTGTTTCAGTCTGCCTCTGGTGCTCTCCTATATGACTGCAGCTCAGGTGGTTCTGGGTAATGGCGGTGCAGTGGGCGAGGACAGACCAGACGTTCTGAGCGGGAAGATGGACTGGGGCTCGATCTCACTGGAGTCTGCAGACAAGAAGGAACACAATGAGATCTCAGGTCCACCGCACATCATTCGTCTCACAATAATGATAATATGTTGAGGAGATCATACATGAGTAAATACAGAGCTCGCCAGTGACTCGGTCTTCTTCTTCTTCTTTTGGCCACAGAGGACACGCTGAACTTCTGGAAGGGTATTGCGGATGTGGGTTTGCTGGGTGAAGTGGTGACCAACATCAGCACTGAGCTGCTGGAGCTGCTGAACAGCGTGCAGCAGCTCAGGGATCTGGCTGCCATACAGGACACAGGTACAGAATAACACTAATGTACACTGGCTGCTGGGAACTGCATCTTCATAACAGAGACTATGCAGAACGTAAAGGTGCATAAACGAACGGAAAGAAAGAACAAATTCAGCTGCTGGCGGAAGCTGAAGGATGACAAACCAACAGCAGAGGGCTCTTAGAAAGGCTGCTGTTGGTTTCTATAAGAGTATTGACTGAATACCTAATTATTCATTGTGTACAACAGCTGAATTTGTTCTTCCTTTCTGACTGACAAAGTGACCCTTTGATTGATTGCCGCACTGATCCCAGATTCCTGTCTGGTAGAGGTGGCGGTGCTCAGTAACCTCGCCCAGGTGTTTGGCCTGCTCGATTCGGTCAAGAAGATCCTGGAGAGGAGGAGGCAGCAGACGGATCCCAGCCAGGAGCAGGTCCTCAGCACACTCACCAGTGAGTACATCATCCATTTAGCCCACTGGATTTGTTGTCAGGTTTGTTTTTTACCATAGAAACATGAACGCTGATGTCTGATTGTTACATGACTCAACATCAATTATTCTAGCTACAACAAAATGCAGCCAGGGGGTGAATTTCAGATCAAATCCCACGTGGCGTCAGTGTTTTCCTCTTCTTCCCTGATCATTTAATTACTTGTTCAGTCACAGAAACTTAAGATATGAACAGATTCATCCACACCTGTATGTGCGAACTGTGCAAAGCATCTGAAGGTACACAACGCATCAAATAACAGCTGAGTGAGTTGTCTAGTTTAAACTTCGTCATGGATATGGATGGAAATTGATCAGACCTTATTGATACCAAAGCCATTATTTATTCGTCCGATTCTTTATCGATTTCCCGAAAGATTATTGATGAATTTTCAGAGTGAAAAAAGTAGATCTACACAGGTTTTTGCCACACAGTAACACCTGCCTCTGCTTCGGCTATACAGTGTAAACCTGACTGTTTACATGAAGCCTGTAGACTATGGCTGCAGCTTAGTTGTATTTCACTCGGGACTTTTGTCAAATGTTTACAAATGCAAATATCAGTCAGGATCAGGAGTCGTTCTGAGAGAAAATCTAGTTCCAATATCTTAATTCTTGTTAATAAGTCGTATTAAATGTGACGATGATGCATCACTGTGTGACGCTGTGACCTGAAATCACTTGGAAAAGGTATGAAACATTTACATGGTGATGAACCACAACTTATGGCGTGTTAATGAGTCGGTATAAATAAATAAACAACAAATATGTGTACATATTATATATTTTGAATGAAAACAAAGGATCAAACGTAAATAAAATGCTGCCTATATAACTTGACTTGACCCGAGCGTTCCCACTGCATTATTGCTTCTTAATAAAAGGATTCATATCAGCGCATATTGGAGAATAAATGCGACGATGCCAATATAAATCGGTCGGGCTCTACTGGAGATCGGACTTGACATTTGGTGGTTTAAGCAGCATCTCATCATCTCTGCTGAATATTGATTTCACACATCAGTATTAGGCTGTGTAAAATCTAATCTGAAATACTTGTGAATCCATAGTTTGCTCGGTCTTCATGTTCAGTCGTGTGTCATGTTGTTTGCTCTGTGCAGACCTGGAGGTGCAGCTGGAAGAACAGAGGAAGCAGCAGCAGGTTCGAGCTCTTCTCTCCTGCCCGCAGCCTCCCAAAAACAAAACTCCCACCAAGCGCCAGACCAAGCGGCCTCGCCTCCAGAGGCCCGCCTCCACCACCACCCTCCTGACCTCCCCCATCAGCCAGCAGGCCACCCTGCAACCTCAGCAGTTCACCGTTCTTTCGCCCATCTCGCTGTCCTCTGTGGGTCAGCCGTTCACTGTGGCAGGCCTGCCCATCGCCTCCCTCGCCCAGTCCTCCAACACGGTCACCCTGCTTCCCGCCGGCTCGCAGCTCTTCACCCGCTACATGGTGACCGGAGACGGAAAGGCGGACACCATCACCTTGCACCCGTCCTCGGGCCTCACACTGCTGGGCACCACAGCTATGCAGGACTCCAGCCAGCTGGGCACGATGGTGAGCCCCGTAGAGCTGGTGCACCTGAGCCAGCAGACCGGCAGCACAGAGGTGGTGCCCATCGAAGGCCAGGTGGTGGACGGCACCATGCTGGTGCAGCAGGAGATGATGCAGGGCGAGGTGGACACTGGCCAGGAGCACACGGTCATCGAGATCAACCCGGCTCCGGTGGAGCAGGCGGTGGGGGTGATGGAGCTGCAGCTGACCGGTGAGCCAGGCAGAGAAGGGGCCGCCATGGTTGTCCAGGGCGGGATGGAGGTGACAATGGCTGCGGAGGGGGAGGAGACGCAGTGCCAAATGCAGGAGGGGCAGACTGATGGGGTTCAGGGGCTGCAGCTGGACGCCAGCGGACAGTTGTCAGGTGTACAGATAGTAGTGATAGAAGAAAATACTCAGGAAGAAAACAAGGTGAAATGAGACACACCTCCTATTTTATCCAACAAAGCAGGTATGAACTTGTACTGAGCTATCACAGACTTGTGAAACTGTAAATACACCACATTTCCAAATCCACAGATTGACTTGGCCTAAGACCAAGCATTAGGGTAGCCATTTTCCTTTTTTGGCGCACGTGTGTGTGTGCGTGCGTGTGTGCGTGTGTGTGTGTGTGCGTGTGTGTGTGTGTGTGTGTACATGCTCCTCTTAACTTCTTGTTGATTTTTATTGAAACAAAGAGGCATCACAACAAAGAATGAAATGTACCCTCCTGTTTGTTTTGTATTTGAAGGATAGTTCCAGCTTGTTACAGCTCGGCTCTTATTCTCCTGGTTCTGGCCATCGTTTGCGTCAGCAGTATTAACCCTGCACTGACCCAGTTAAGTGCTGAGATCTGACGATGCAGATGTCACTTAGAGGAAGTCAGAGACAGGTTGCAAACAAACCCTCAAGTGAACCAAACTTATTTAATTGAAGACGGGAATTATTATTACACAAACTATCACAGTTTAGAGACTGACTTTGCGGCGTGCTGAACTTCCTGTGGTCGACTTAACAGCTTTAAAATACAGTGACTTTTATTTTTACCTCCAAGTAAAGTGCTTACGATCAGATGTGTCCGAACCCCCGGACGTTGGACCAGCACCGGGCCTTCTAGCATTCTTTGCGGGGCTTTGAGGAAACAATATGTTTCGCAAAAAAAAAAAAATACCTGAATGATGATTACATAACAATGAACTGATTTTGATCTAAAGTTTGTCAGCAGCACAGAAGGTCATCAGTCTTCACCTACTTCGATCTGCCGGGCCTGTGGGTGCCGTGTTCATGTTACTCTTGGAAAGCAACCGCGAGCTAACGAGCGTTTGAGGAGGAGTCGGAGAGAGCTGGACAGAAGGTGAATGAGATAAAAGGTCCAAAGTATGTGTTTTTCTATCCAGATATTAAACGCACTGTACTTAGTGTAGTGGGGACTCAGCCGTGCGTTGAACAGCGCAGAGGGCTGACTTGGAGGGGGGGGGGGGGGGGGGGGGGGTCAGACAGCAACAGATTGCATTTAAAGGCTTATTCAGATGGTGAAAGACTGCACCACAGTTTATAACACTCACAGACAGGACTTTACGACTCTTCAAAGTTTTCAAGATCGAACCAGGGCATTCGCATTACAAAGTAAAGTAAGTCCTCAGTGGAAGCATCTCACAGACAGGCTCGATCTTATCAATGATTTCTTTTCTTCTTTTTTTTTAAACTCAGGGCTGAAATAATCCTGAACTCTGCCTTAGAGTGAAATTTTTAATTTGGTCATGATATCAGTCCTTAAATCTGTCAATATGAAATTGTTCTGTTTGGGACTCTTGGTTTAGATAATAGGCTCAACGCTTTTGCTTGTTTACAACCCGTGTTATCATCTCACCACTCATAGTTCTTTCCTTATCAGACTTAGCTGTAAACATGTTTTGTTCCCAGATCTCAGTAATTAACATTGGTTGGTGCATTACTGATAAAAAAATAAATAAATAAAAAAACGATGACCGGAGCTGAGAGAATGAGACCAAAACAGAATTATCCTTTAAGCCTCCATGAACAACCTGAAGAGAATTCACTGTAACTGTAAAGTCTCCGTGCAGGGCTTCGATGGTGCTGATGATTCATCAGTTCACATCCTCTTACACTGACTCAGGAGCAGCAGGCTGCAACTTCTCAGCCTGCTCCGCTGATGATCAGACTCATTACCAGTTACAGTGTTGGGGGTCACTTAAGGCTGGGAATAATTGCACTGTCTGTTGTGTCGTAGTGTCGCATCCAAGCTGTATTGTTTTTGCACTGTGTGACGTCCGTTTGGGACGACGGGAAGATGTTTGCATCGACGCCTGCTCTCGAAACATTTCTTTACAATTTGGCCATACTGTTGGGTATGCCACCTTTTCCTCTGTGCATAGTTAAACGGCAATGGACTGAATTCCTCTCATTGGACTGTCAGCGGTTTCTTTACTGCTTGGTTTCACTCACAAAACTCTTTTTCCTTCATTGTGAACATCGAATTGCTTTTTCTCAGTATCATAGGTAGTGTGAGCTACTGGACTGATTGTTTAAGTCGATATATAAAAGAACATATATATATACTTAATGTCTAATGTGGTATGCCTGTATTTTACACTTGTACAAAGTAGTGTCATATTTATTAGTTTTCCATCTGGCCTCTCTCTCTCTCTCTCTAAGGTGCAAACCTGGATGAATTTATGCTCTTGGCTTTAGCTCACATCAACAAAGACTTGTTCAAGACTTGTGCATTTCCAATAATTTAATTTAACAAATGAGGGTATTTGCATACTGACTTTGTAATGTGTTTTAATATCAGATTAAAACTGAAAAAAAAAAAAAGTGTGAGTGGCTGTGTCCGTTTTCTGCCACCAGAGTGCGCTGTGTGCTCGCCCCACTACGGCCTGAAACTGGAGACGAGGGTCACAGCCACAGCTGCATTAATAGATGCTGTAATCTCCGACTTCTCCATGTGTCAGGTTTATTGCAGTACGCGGTGTAATCTGCACCGTCATGGGTGCTGTCCGTGATGGGCAGGCCTCTCTGGAGGCTGAGCCGTGCTGACAGGGCACCGGGGCTCTCTGGTTATTACAGTCCACTCTTCTTGTAGCCCCTAACACTCCCAGACACTGTATTAGGGAAAGGGCATGAGGATTTGGGTTATACAAGCACAAAAACAGGCACACACACACACACACACACACACACACACAAACTGCAAGGCTGAAAAAGACACTGACATGAACTGGTTTTAGGTGTGTGTGTGTTTGTGAAGTACAAAAGGGAAACATCCTGACATCAGCAGCTGAATGTGGAGCTGCTGGGGGGCCAAGTGAGGGCTAAAAGGTTGAGAGACTGAACAGAAGGGGTCATTGTGAGGTGCAGGAGGAGAGGATATGCTGTCCGGGTAAATTACAGAGGTGCTCCATAAGCTACAGGTTGGGTTTCCTCACATGTGCACAGGACAATGAAAACGGGAGCAGAGCGAGCATCGGTTACATGTTGGGGAAAGTCTCTCGAGAGGTTGAGAGGCTGTTAGAAGAGGGGCCAACGCAGCTGGCATTTAGTCAGTAACGCCTCGGCTATAGCAGGTTTAGCTGAGAATAGATGCAGGAGCGTGACATCTCGTAGTCAGTGTATCTTACACACAGAACGGCTTCGTGCTCTATCTATAGCATCAGAGGAGGAAAACAGGCCCATAAAATAAAAAAATAAAAACTCAAACATATGGTTGATTTAAAAATGAGGTGACAGACAGTGACAGAACATGTCCTGTGTAAGAGAAGGGTTTCAGTCGGTTTTTAAATCATGTCCTTTTAAATTATGCAGGGTCTTATATAATAAGCCAGTATTTATTCTATACATGTCGACTGTTAGCTATCCTGCCGGTGAACTGGGACCACTGCTGCAGTCATTACCCAGGCCCCAGACTGAGAGTTATGCATAGTTTCTTAAAACTAGTACCAACATGTTTTGTAAATGGACATTAGTCTCAATAATAACAAGAACTTGGTGTCAACTCCACAACTGTATACATGTTAATAAAAAAAAAAAAAAAAAAAGGAAGACTCTGAGACAGGATTTAAAATACCAGAGAATAGTCACTCAACTAAGAAATTAATTACTCCACAACAATTTTGATAATTGACTAATCAATTACACAAAAAGCCAAAAGGAATTTTTACGTGGGCTTTTGGATTATTACAGAAAATAAACTGTGAGAAACAAACGTTTATGATACTGTCACGTTTTGTTCAATAGAAAAATCTTCACAAATGAACACTACTTTATGAACCTTTTGAAGCCTTAATACAATCACCAGAAGTAAAAAGCAAATGTTGGGCTGTAAACGAACTACACCACGGTCGCGTGACTTCAACGTCACCACCACTAAACTTTCAACTTCTAGTTTGATTTAGTTCTTACCGCTTCTACAAAAGCCTTTCCTCTTACAAAGTTCGTAGCTGTTTGTAAAAGTGTAAACACAACGAGGCTGTAAAGGTGAACCGGTGAGTTGATCGGTTTTCATATCCGACGTGATGACGTTTGACGTCCCCGACAACCTCTCATTTAGCCACCTGTTAGCAACCGGTATTTTTTTAAAGAGACTTTAAAGCTTAAAGAAATCACGTCTGGAGTATTTACTGACGTATTTTAATGTCGTAGCATAAAACGTAAAAAATATCTTGAGCTCATGTAACCCGCATAAATGGAAAAACCCATAGACTTGATGAGGGAGGGAACCGGAAGTGCTCAAAAGCTAACTTATTTCCGTGTTTTAGGACTCACTCCTGCGGAGCAAGTTTTATTACCTTACAAATTTGTTATGGCTAATGTGTTAGCAAAGTGTTGTCTATTTACACACATACAATAAATCTTGCAGTTAGCACAAAAAAATACACTGAAGTGGACTGGGAGGAATTATGCTGTAGTTAAGTAACTGATACTGTTTACATGTTAGCAAACAGTTTCCTTTGATTTTGCCCTTTGTTCAATAGCATTTTTAGACATGGAGCACACACATTTAGTTCATTTTTGTACTGTCAACACCTAAGTTCTGATCATTAAATTGAATTCATATAGTTTTCTTTCCTTTTTTTTTGTTACTTTACCATAGGAAACAAGAACTGTGGACTGTAACCCAGGCTACACCTGAAGTAGAGCAGCATTGATGGCTGTAACTGCTGCCAACAGATTTTATAGACCATCTTCACCCCTGCGTTTGGTCCCTGTAGTGTAAAGTTTAATGATGTAACATTACATGATTTCTGGGAAACAAAACCTCTTCACATTTACAAGGCTGCCAACTCTCACGCATTGGCCGTGAGACACACTCATTTGAATCACTTCACACGCTCTCACGCCACACCCCCGATTTCTCACGCTGAGTTTCGTCCTGGCCAGAGCTATAGAGATAGATCTAACTGTGATATGCCAGGAAGAAGCTGCCTCTGTGCGCATCCGGGCTGGCTGACCATAGCCACCGTTTTCGGCTATAAACATGTACTAAATAACGTCGTTGCGAGTAAACTCTGGATGTTCCCACTTCAGGACACTTGGATTGTCGCGGACGAGCAGTATGGAGGAATATTACAAAGTTTTTGTGTAGTTTTATGGACGTTTTCGTGTCGGTCGCAATTGACGGCCATTCAAAGTATTTTCGCTGCAGGACTGGCTACCCGGGGGTCTCTAAATGGACTTTTTTGGAAGAACAAAGCACACATGATATTGACTGAATTCTGTTTCTAGGGTGAACTATTCCTTTAAGATATATTAAAATTGAATTCAGAATAAGCCCAACATAAATTGTACGCCAGAAAAAAACATATTGTAACTAATATACTAGTGCATAATTATTAAACTAACATCACTTTTATTAAACCTAAATCAAGATGGCTGGCCTGGAGCCCTGCTTCAAGTGGGAGCCCTCCCAGGACATCATCAAGGCCTCAAAAAAGGCCACGAGCAAGTACAACCAAGCACACAGCCATCAAGGACTGAAATGAGTAGCCTGAGATGAGTAGTCTGTTTTGTTAGTTTGAAAATGGCAGCTTTCCCTACTCCCCCTACTGTACATTAACCTCTGCATTATTAGAGGCATATAGATCGGGGATGTTTAAAAAATGTTTTTGGGGTTTTTCATTTTTATTTAAATGTTTCAACATATACTCTATGTATACTACATATCTGTTTACTTTTCCCCAAAATAAATATGCACGAAATGGGCCATGCTGTGTCTTGTGTCTTACTGTTGATTCAATTGGTTCCATTTGTACACTCTGAGTAGGGCCTAAGGCTATTACATTCAGAACCACTGATGTACGGTAAGCGGTAAATGTTTTTTGCTGTATGGCAATGGGCCAAACAAAAAATTGGCGTGTATACGGCAAAATTTTGGTTGGCCCCGCAAAAAATCTCACTCCAAGGCTTTTTGAAAAGTTGGCAGCCCTGTTACAGTTCAGACTGGACACTACAACAG